TATAGATACCTCGTCCTTGTTAGATAATATTACAGAGCGAGTATATTTACAGTACTTTGTTGATGACAGTTTACATTCTAGTATAGATACCTCGTCCTTGTTAGATAATATTACAGAGCGAGTATATTTACAGTACTTTGTTGATGACAGTTTACATTCTAGTATAGATACCTCATCCTTGTTAGATAATATTACAGAGCGAGTATATTTACAGTACTTTGTTGATGACAGTTTTTAATAAGATTAGTGTCCTGTTATACATCAGAGAGAATAGGAAACCTACACATGTTTTTCAGGAGCAGATCAGGTGTATTTTATGACAAAAATATACCCATATTTCATGTTGTAATATAGGTAGCAGAATACAGTAGAAATGGCCCGACTCTGATAAACAAGGCACATGTTGAGGAAATGTAAACACAGCGGATTTACCCATGTATATTTGTAAACTGCATTTCATTTACAATACATATAAAGTACTGAGAAGTGTATAAACCTCTTTTTTCTATGTATGTCACTTGTGTGAAAACCATGGTTACCACATTAAAAATTACCAAAAAATGCCAAAAATTGCTAATTTTGACCCAAAATTTGACCCCCGCAACAAGTAATTTTTTCCCTAAGTTCTGTCTGAAATTAAAGATTACCTACCTGGTTGCAGAATTATCTGGGTCCCAGTAAAGTTGTAAAACTTGATTTTTTGCAATTTTGCGTCGTGTGCTGTCAAAATTTTACCTCCTGTAAAGCTAGCTTTTCATGTTTAGGCACCCTTTCAGATTATGGTCAAAATTTTATTCTCGAACCAAAAAAATCTTCATTTTTTTTTACAAATGTGAAGCTCACATACCTCACTTCATCATGCTTATACCAATTTTAGTAGTTTTATTTTATATTTTTTTTTACATATCATTATACAGGGGTAAGCCATTTAACAAAAATATCACCTGTGGCCACAACCCTCTACTGTATACTGCTACCATAGGGGTGAAGTTACAGAGTTTTGGCTGTAAACTAAATTGTTGTCACATAATCCATTGATTATTAAGTTATAGCAGATTTTGAAAAAACCTTCTCCAGGTCATAGTCTTTATACTGATTAAAGCTACAATCTTTAACTCTGAGTGACATCATTGAATGTCCATATAATATAAATTCTATTTATTTTCCAACTGTTATGAAACAGCTTTTTCTAACTTATATGAATCTGTTATTGGCTTGGATGAAAGCACTATATGGTCTTCATGTGGGAGGAAATCTGAGTACCTGGGGGACACCCAGGTGGTGAGGCAGGGGGTGACCCAGTACCTTTTCGTATCCCATGGGCAATTCAAATCCTGGCCATATTGATGAAAGGCGATAGTGCTATCTACTGCGCCAACTGACTAGCCTTATCTAACCTTCCACCTGACTAGCCTTACCTTACCTTCCCCTGACTACCCTTACCTTACCTTCTACCTGACTTCCCTTACCTTATCCTCCACCTGACTACCCTTACCTTACCTTCCACCTTACTATCCTAACCTTACCTTCCACCTTACTATCCTTACCTTACCCTCCACCTGGCTACCCTTACCTTACCTTCCACCTGACTACCCTTACCTTACCCTCCACCTGACTACCCTTAACTTACCTTCTACCTGACTACCCTTACCTTACCTTCTACCTGACTACCCTTACCTTACCTTACCTTCTACCTGGCTACCCTTACCTTACCTTCCACCTGACTACCCTTACCTTACCCTCCACCTGACTACCCTTAACTTACCTTCTACCTGACTACCCTTACCTTACCTTCTACCTGACTACCCTTACCTTACCTTCTACCTGACTACCCTTACCTTACCTTCCACCTGACTACCCTTACCTTACCCTCCACCTGACTACCCTTACCTTACCTTCTACCTGACTACCCTTACCTTACCTTCTACCTGACTACCCTTACCTTACCTTCTACCTGACTACCCTTACCTTACCCTCCACCTGACTACCCTTACCTTACCCTCCACCTGACTACCCTTACCTTACCCTCCACCTGACTACCCTTACCTTACCCTCCACCTGACTACCCTTACCTTACCCTCCACCTGACCACCCTTACCTTTCCCTTCACCTGACTACCCTTACCTTACCCTCAACCTGACTACCCTTACCTTACCTTCCAACTGACTATCCTTACCTTACCCCCCACCTGACTACCCTTACCTTACCCTCCACCTGAATACCCTTACCTTACCCTCCACCTGACTACCCTTACCTTACCCTCCCCCTGACTACCCTTACCTTACCCTCCTCCTGACCACCCTTACCTTTCCCTTCCCCTGACTACCCTTACCTTACCTTACCTTCTACCTGGCTACCCTTACCTTACCTTCCACCTGACTATCCTTACCTTACCCCCCTCCTTACTACCCTTACCTTACCCTCCACCTGACTACCCTTACCTTACCTTCCAACTGACTATCCTTACCTTACCCCCCACCTTACTACCCTTACCTTACCCTCCACCTTAATACCCTTACCTTACCCCCCACCTGACTACCCTTACCTTACCTTCTACCTGACTATTCTTACCTTACCCTCCACCCGACTACCCTTACCTTATCATCCACCTGACTACCCTTACCTTACCCTCCACATGAATACCCTTACCTTACCCTGTGTTGATTACCCTGTATATGTGGTCCCTATAACCCTGTATTGATTACCCTGTAGATGTGACCCCTGTTACCCTGTGTTGATTACCCTGTAGTTTTGACCTGTTTCAGTGGTGTAATTGTGATGGTTATGTTTTAGGTGTTGCTCCCAATGCAATCCACCTGTTGAACGCCCTGGAGACGTGGGACATGCGAGTGTCTTCAGCACTCAATGGGACTCTTCCTATACATGATAACGAGTGGGGAGCTCTTTGTCAGCTGATGGAGGAGTGGCTGACCGCAGTGGACGCAGCGTCAGAGTATGTGGGCACCACACAGAGCGAGGAGGAGCGGGACGAGGGCAAGCCACACACGAGGTAGCCATGGTGATGGTGACATCATACCTGCTGCTTGTTTAATACTGTCTAACAAAATAATCTAATATAACTTTCTAACCAACATGATTGGTATAGCCTAGGATTTCTCTAGTTTCCTTGTTTTACTCTGTAGTTTCTCCATTGCACAAGGTTATGAGTAGTTAGGTTAGTTATTTACTATAATTATTTCTCTCTCTAAAACATCTTGCACATTAAAATAGAATATGGATAACATTAAATAAAATTATTTCATCAATTATCTTCATCATGAAGAGAACTGAAATACAAATATGCATGATGCTACAAACTTTTTCATATTTCTCAACTTAGCAGATATAGCTTGTATACATTTCTGTCTTTACTCTCAAATTTATATACTATAACTGTATTGATGCCTGGGTTTTATAACTCTGTACTTTACTACGTGGGAGTCTATGTATCTGTGCAGACTACTGACATATACTCTATATGGGTGTAATATCTACTAACCAATAACTCTACATATCACTCTGACTAATACTAGTATGTCTTCTTTATCCATTAAAAGCAGAAAGCGATATGACTTTCCTGGGTAACTATCTTCCATTATCACTGTACATGTATGATGAACAGAAAGAATGGCAATAAGTCCACATGAAGCACCGTCAGCTTCCGTATCCAGTCGCGTAGTATTGTAGTATTGATATAATTAACATATGCACTTAATTTATTCTTCCTTGCTTTTGAGCGACTAAGATAGTGTACTGGCATTTGTTTGACTAAAGTCACTATCAAGCACTTGAGTGAGTTTGATCACAGCAGCGTAACCACCACTGACCACCTCTACCACCTGTGTGAGCTAACCTGCCTGACCTCTCACTAATTCACCGGGCACTAACTTCTGCCGCAATCCACTTGAGTAACTGTATAATGTAGGACAAAATATCAGAGATTTTTGCAGGGATTGTAAGCATGCCCAGATCATTTCAGTCTTTAACGTCCATGTGACATTACCACTCAGTACTCTGTAATAGCAGTGACATTACCACTCAGTGCTCTGTAATAGCAGTGACATTACCACTCAGTACTCTGTAATAGCAGTGACATTACCACTCAGTACTCTGTAATAGCAGTGACATTACCACTCAGTACTCTGTAATAGCAGTGACATTACCACTCAGTACTCTGTAATAGCAGTGACATTACCACTCAGTACTCTGTAATAGCAGTGACATTACCACTCAGTACTCTGTAATAGCAGTGACATTACCACTCAGTACTCTGTAATAGCAGTGACATTACCACTCAGTACTCTGTAATAGCAGTGACATTACCACTCAGTACTCTGTAATAGCAGTGACATTACCACTCAGTACTCTGTAATAGCAGTGACATTACCACTCAGTACTCTGTAATAGCAGTGACATTACCACTCAGTACTCTGTAATAGCAGTGACATTACCACTCAGTACTCTGTAATAGCAGTGACATTACCACTCAGTACTCTGTAATAGCAGTGACATTACCACTCAGTACTCTGTAATAGCAGTGACATTACCACTCAGTACTCTGTAATAGCAGTGACATTACCACTCAGTACTCTGTAATAGCAGTGACATTACCACTCAGTACTCTGTAATAGCAGTGACATTACCACTCAGTACTCTGTAATAGCAGTGACATTACCACTCAGTACTCTGTAATAGCAGTGACATTACCACTCAGTACTCTGTAATAGCAGTGACATTACCACTCAGTGCTCTGTAATAGCAGTGACATTACCACTCAGTACTTTGTAATAGCAGTGACATTACCACTCAGTGCTCTGTAATAGCAGTATTTTCAGTAATAAAGGGAGTCAAACTTTCACTCTTGCTTTGCACAAATCTCTGTTTATTTTCTCCTTTAAATGAAGACTAGTAGCCAGAGTAAGGTTGTCTTCACCGACTTTGGACACAGACTGATGTCAGTCCACTGTGCTTCACTGTCTGTGAGAATGGCCTCACTCTGGCTCTCAAAGAGACTTGAGCCTCACTCTGGCTCTCCACGAGATCAGCCTCACTCTGGCTCTCTAATGAAATCAGCCTCACTCTGGCTATTCTGGAATGTTTCTAAAGATGTCTCTGTACCAAAAGTCACTTGTTTGTTTGCTTTATCACTCTGCCATAGGAAAGTAACTTTGTCACTTAACTATGTTACAAAGAGACTAGGCCATAGCAGCACTAGCAGCAATTTCTCACCAATCCTCAGCTAATGCTTAACATCCGACATTTTAGCTTACCTACAGGTGACTTTGGTAGTAAGAGTTGTGTAGTCATTGATACTGGGGCAAGTCTGGGTACCTGGATATGTTTTGTGTATGTTTGAATGTAACACTGGTATAAATAACACAACTTTATAACAATCTGATCAAACTAATTTTTGTTAGTGATGCAAATATGAGAAAGTGTCTAAAGTTACCTGGACTCGCCCTATCTGTTGAATTTTAAATCTGTCCTGTTAAGTGATGCTGTTCCAGTGTAGTAGTGTATTGTGAAGCCCTTGGTATAGTTTATTTCAAATTGTTGTTCTATATAAATTATATATATGAAAATACACAAACCTATGTGTGGGGTAGTGAAATTTAGATCTGGGCAGTGGGGTTACTTTACAATAATAGTGAAATAAACTTTTACTACCATTATGGTAAATTGACCCCAGCTCATTTCACCATGCTTCACAATAACATACCACACCAGATATAACAATTAAAACTCAGGTAAATTTAGTGTTATCAGTTTTTATTATAATTCATGTTTATAATCATGTTCTTTTATAATTTGTTTGTATATTTAGTATTGTTCTGTTATGAATACATGTACTGATATACCTCGAAGTAACCTATGAAGTATGTCATTGTGCTTTCCATTACATTTCATTGTGCTTTCCATTACATTTCATTGTGCTTTCCATTACATTCCAAATTTTGAAATTCATCGATGTTAAGTGTTGTATGCCAATTAATGTCTGTACTTGTCTATATAGTATTGTGGTGACAGACACCATCAGGAAGGTACAGAAATGGACGACTACATCCACAAATGCAATTGACAGCGAAGATGCAAAGCTAGTAGAACAGGTAATATAATCATTCATAGACATTTCTAGGCTAGTAGAACAGGTAATATAATCATTCATAGACATTTCTAGGCTAGTAGAACAGGTAATATAATCATTCATAGACATTTCTAGGCTAGTAGAACAGGTAATATAATCATTTATAGACATTTCTAGGCTAGTAGAACAGGTAATATAATCATTCATAGACATTTCTAGGCTAGTAGAACAGGTAATATAATCATTTATAGACATTTCTAGGCTAGTAGAACAGGTAATATAATCATTCATAGACATTTCTAGGCTAGTAGAACAGGTAATATAATCATTTATAGACATTTCTAGGCTAGTAGAACAGGTAATATAATCATTCATAGACATTTCTAGGCTAGTAGAACAGGTAATATAATCATTTATAGACATTTCTAGGCTAGTAGAACAGGTAATATAATCATTCATAGACATTTCTAGGCTAGTAGAACAGGTAATATAATCATTTATAGACATTTCTAGGCTAGTAGAACAGGTAATATAATCATTCATAGACATTTCTAGGCTAGTAGAACAGGTAATATAATCATTCATAGACATTTCTAGGCTAGTAGAAAAGGTAATATAATCATTCATAGACATTTCTAGGCTAGTAGAACAGGTAATATAATCATTTAAAGACATTTATAGGCTAGTAGAACAGGTAATATAATCATTCATAGACATTTCTAGGCTAGTAAAATAGGTAATATAATAATTTATAGACATACTAGGCTAGTAGAATAGGTAATATAATAGTTCATAGACATACTAGGATAGTAGAACAGGTCATAGACATTTCTAGGCTAGTAGAACAGGTAATATAATCAATTATAGACATTTCTAGGCTAGTAGAACAGGTAATATAATCATTTATAGACATTTCTAGGCTAATAGAAAGGTAATATAATCATTCATAGACATTTCAAGGCTAGTAGAACAGGTAATATAATCATTCATAGACATTTCTAGGCTGGTAGAACAGGTAATATAATCATTCATAGACATTTCTAGGCTAGAAGAACAGGTAATATAATCATTAAAAGACATTTATAGGCTAGTAGAACAGGTTATATAATCATTCATAGACATTTCTAGGCTAGTAAAATAGGTAATATAATAATTCATAGACATACTAGGTTAGTAGAATAGGTAATATAATAGTTCATAGACATACTAGGATAGTAGAACAGGTCATAGACATTTCAAGGCTAGTAGAACAGGTAATATAATCATTTATAGACATTTCTAGGCTAGTAGAACAGGCAATATAATCATTTATAGACATTTCTAGGCTAGTAGAACATGTAATATAATCATTTATAGACATTTCTAGGCTAGGAGAACAGGTAATATAATTATTTATAGTCATTTCTAGGCTAGTAGAACAGGTTATATAATCATTCATAGACATTTCTAGGCTAGAAGGACAGGTAATATAATCATTTATAGACATTTCTAGGCTAGTAGAACAGGTAATATAATCATCCATAGACATTTCTAGGCTAGTAAAACAGGTAATATAATCATTTAAAGACATTTCTGGGCTAGTAGAACAGGTAATATAATCATTCATAGACATTTCTTGGCTAGTAGAACAGGTAATATTATCATTTATAGACATACTAGGCTAGTAGAACAGGTAATATAATCATTCAAAGACATTTCTAGGCAAGTAGAACAGGTAATATTATCATTCATTGACATTTCTAGGCTAGAAGAATTGGTAATATAATCATTCATAGACATTTCTGGGCTAGTAGAACAGGTAATATAATCATTCATAGACATTTCTAGGCTAGTAAAACAGGTAATATAATCATTTAAAGACATTTCTGGGCTAGTAGAACAGGTAATATAATCATTCATAGACATTTCTTGGCTAGTAGAACAGGGAATATTATCATTTATAGACATACTAGGCTAGTAGAACAGGTAAAATCATCATTTATAGACATACTAGGCTAGTAGTACAGGTAATATTATCATTTATAGACATACTAGGGTAGTAAATCAGGTATTATTATCATTTATAGACATACTAGGTTAGTAGAACAGGTAATATTATCATTTATAGACATACTAGGCTAGTAGTACAGGTAATATTAACATTTATAGACATACTAGGCTAGTAGAACAGGTAAAATCATCATTTATAGACATACTAGAGTAGTAGATCAGGTAATATTATCATTTATAGACATACTAGGCTACTGGTACAGGTAATATAATCATTCATAGACATTTCTAGGCTAGTAGAACAGGTAATATTATCATTCAAAGACATTTCTGGGCTAGTAGAACGGGTAATATAATCATTCATAGACATTTCTAGGCTAGTAGAAGAGGTAATATAATCATTTATAGACATACTAGGCTAGTAGAACAGGTAAAATCATCATTTATAGACATACTAGAGTAGTAGATCAGGTAATATTATCATTTATAGACATACTAGGCTAGCAGAACATTGAAATATAACCATTCAAAGACATTTCTATGCAAGTAGAACAGGTAATATTATCATTCATAGACATTTCTAGGCTAGTAGAACAGGTAATATAATCATTTATAGACATACTAGGCTAGTAGAACAGGTAATATCATCATTTATAAACATACTAGGCTAGTAGAACAGGTAATATCATCATTTATAGACATACTAGGCTAGTAGAACAGGTAAAATCATCATTTATAGACATACTAGGCTAGTAGTAGAGGTAATATTATCATTTATAGACATACTAGGCTAGTAGTACAGGTAATATTAACATTTATAGACATACTAGGCTAGTAGAACAGGTAAAATCATCATTTATAGACATACTAGGCTAGTAGTAGAGGTAATATTATCATTTATAGACATACTAGGCTAGTAGAACATTGTAATATAATCATTCAAAGACATTTCTATGCAAGTAGAACAGGTAATATTATCATTCATAGACATTTCTAGGCTAGTAGAACAGGTAATATTATCATTCAAAGACATTTCTGGGCTAGTAGAACGGGTAATATAATCATTCATAGACATTTCTAGGCTAGTAGAAGAGGTAATATAATCATTTATAGACATACTAGGCTACTGGTACAGGTAATATAATCATTCATAGACATTTCTAGGCTAGTAGAAGAGGTAATATAATCATTTATAGACATACTAGGCTACTGGTACAGGTAATATAATCATTCATAGACATTTCTAGCCTGGAAGAACAGGTAATATAATCAGTCATAGACATTTCTAGGATAGTTGAACAGGTAATATAATCATTTATAGACATTTATAGGCTAGTAGAACAGGTAATAAAATCATTCATAGACATTTCTAGGCTAGTAGAACAGGTAATATAATCATGTATAGACATACTAGGCTAGTAGAACAGGTAAAATCATCATTTATAGACATACTAGGCTAGTAGTAGAGGTAATATTATCATTTATAGACATACTAGGCTAGTATAACAGGTATTATTATCATTTATAGACATACTAGGCTAGTAGAACATTGTAATATAATCATTCAAAGACATTTCTATGCAAGTAGAACAGGTAATATTATCATTCATAGACATTTCTAGGCTAGTAGAACAGGTAATATAATCATGTATAGACATACTAGGCTAGTAGAACAGGTAAAATCATCATTTATAGACATACTAGAGTAGTAGATCAGGTAATATTATCATTTATAGACATACTAGGCTAGAAGAACAGGTAATATCATCATTTATAAACATACTAGGCTAGTAGAACAGGTAATATCATCATTTATAGACATACTAGGCTAGTAGAACAGGTAATATTATCATTTATAGACATACTAGGCTAGTAGAACAGGTAATATTATCATTTATAGACATACTAGGCTAGTAGTACAGGTAATATTATCATTTATAGACATACTAGGCATTCATTGACATTTTTACCTAAGTTGCTAGAGGTGTAGTGGTATTGAGGGCGATGTACAAGGAGATTGTTTAGACAAAAGTAAAAAGAGGCCTTGACACATGTTTACAATAAGTAAGATGGGAAGTGAAACAAGAAGCATTTGATAAAAGTTTGATTGTTTGTTATAGGTGTCGTCACTACACTCCTTCATGGTGAGATGGATGGTACAGATGCTTCTGAGACTGGCCCCAGACAGGGAAGATAACTCCAAGGAGGCCAGCGAGATGGCACTACTGGGCAGTGCTCCTCTAAGCGATCTCCATTCCAAAATCAAGACACTTTTTGAACAGCTGGAAATGTTCACAAATTATGTTGCTCTGTAAGTCTACATTTTTTTGTATTTCTTACAATAGCCAGCATGCTGTGTATGTTATCTCTGTAGGATGTTTAGTTTACCTCTGTAGCATGCTGTGTAGTTTATCTCTGTAGTATGCTGTGAAATCAATCTTTACTCTTCAGATTATTTTTTACTGACCTCTATCATGACATATGTTGTTTTGCTAACCTCTGAAGCCTGCTATGTATTTAATCTCTTTGCATGCTTTGTATTCCGTCTTTGTGTATTGCAGAGTTATCTTCTCTTGTGAGCAGGTATTGATTGTTGCGTCATTGGTTTGTGTGAGAAAATTATGTCATTTTCTCAAAAATTGATGACGTTACTCTCACAAACAAATGATGTAACAATCAATACCTGCTCACAAGAGCAGATTACTCTGCAATACGCTCGACGGAATATAATCTCTGCTGCTAGCTGTACAATCAATCTCTGCAGCATGCATGCTGTGTATAATCTCTGCTGCTAACTGTGCATACAATCTCTGCTGCTAGCTGTACATACAATCTCTGCTGCTAGCTGTACATACAATCTCTGCTGCTAGCTGTACATACAATCTCTGCTGCTAGCTGTACATACAATCTCTGCTGCTAGCTGTACATACAATCTCTGCTGCTAGCTGTACATACAATCTCTGCTGCTAGCTGTACATACAATCTCTGCTGCTAGCTGTACATACAATCTCTGCTGCTAGCTGTACATACAATCTCTGCTGCTAGCTGTACATACAATCTCTGCTGCTAGCTGTACATACAATCTCTGCTGCTAGCTGTACATACAATCTCTGCTGCTAGCTGTACATACAATCTCTGCTGCTAGCTGTACATACAATCTCTGCTGCTAACTGTGCATACAATCTCTGCTGCTAGCTGTACATACAATCTCTGCTGCTAGCTGTACATACAATCTCTGCTCCTAGCTGTGTATGTAATCTTTGAAGCATGCTATCAATATAATTTCTGTTACATGCTGTGTGTATATTTCTACTGCATGCTGTTATATTTAATTCGTCTCTATTCCTCTCTACTACTTGAAATGTTTCTTTCTGCTTTCCTCTGCGTTCCTCTCCTGCTGTTGAACTTCCTTTATGTGATAAATAGACGTAACATAGAAATACACTATGATGAGAGAAAAGACACTGACGGAGATGAGGATTACAGTACAGATGATACAGATGATAGTGATGAGGGAGGTGAACCAGATGACGAGTGAGTCAAGATGGAATTTCTGTGATGCAAGGTTTTGGGTTTAGGTCCTTAGTACCAACACACCACGGTCCTAACGGCTTGTGTAATGGTAGCAATTAACTAGCTCAGTTTCTTTTTCTTTATCTAGTTTTATTGCTCCAAGAAAACACTATATTATACTGAAATGTTTTGGATTCCAAACTTTACTAATGTATATCTTCATTCGTTCTTATTTTATATTTGTTTTTAAATAAAATGTAACTTGGTTTTTTAGCTCACCTGGCACAAAGTGCCAAGTGAGCTTATGCCGTGGCGCGGCGTCCGTCGTCCGTCCGTCAACTTTTCCTTTAAACAACTTCTTCTGAAGAACGGACAGGCCTAGAGTCATGATATTTGGCTGAAAGCTTCATTGGTAGGAGCCCTACAAAGTTTGCGAACGAAAATGACCTTGACCTGTTTTCAAGGTCACAGGGGTCAAATATGTCAAAAACTTCAAACGACTTCTTCTAAAGAACTGAAAGGTATAGAATCTTCATATTTGGCTGATGGCTTCCTGGGATAGAGACCAACAAAGTTTGAGAATGAAAATTAGTTTGACTTACTTTCAAGGTCACAGGGGTCAAATATGTCAAAAACTTCAAACGACTTCTTCTGAAGAATTAAAAGGTATAGAATCTTCATATTTGGCTGATGGCTTCCTTGGATGGAGCCCAACAAAGTTTGAGAATGAAAATGACCTTGACCTTCTTTCAAGGTCACAGGGGTCAAATGTGTCAAACACTTCAAACGACTTCTTCTGAAGAACTGAAAGGTATATAATCTTTATATTTGGCTGGTGGCTTCCTGGGATAGAGCCCAACAAAGTTTGAGAATGAAAACTAGTTTGACCTACTTTCAAGGTCACAGGGGTCATATATGTCAAAAGCTTCAAATGACTTCTTCTGAAGAACTGAAAGGTATAGAATCTTTATTTTTGATTGATGGCTTCCTTGGATAGAGCCCGACAAAGTTTGAGAATGAAAATGACCTTGACCTTCTTTCAAGGTCACAGGAGTCAAATGTGTCAGACACTTCAAACGACTTCTTCTGAAGAACTGAAAGGTATATAATCTCTATATTTGGCTTGTAGCTTCCTAGGAAAGAGCCGAACAAAGTTTGAGAATGAAAATGACCTTGACCTTCTTTTAAGGTCACATGAGGCAGATATGTCAAACACTTTAAACGACTTCTTCTGAAGAACTGGTAGTTATAAAATCTTAATATTTGGCAGGTGGCTTCCTGGGAAAGAGCCAAACAAAGTTTGCGAATGAAAATGACCTTGACCTACTTTCAAGGTCACAGCGTTCAAATATGTCAAACAGTTCAAACAGCTTCTTCTGAAGAATTAAAAGGCATAAAATTATAATATTTGGCTGGTGACTTCCCGGGATAGAGCTCACCAAAGTTTGCAAATGAAAATGACCTCAACCTACTTTAGAGGTCACAGAGGTCAACAACATTTTAATGGATTTGTTCTTGAGAACTAAAAGGAATGGATTCATAAGATTTGGCTGGTAGCTTTTTGGAATAGAGCTAACCAATTTGAGAAGGAAAATGACATTGACCTACTTACAAGATCACAGGGAAAAATATGTCAAGCAACTTCTGAAGAAGAATCAAAAAGCATAGAATCTTATAATAATATTTTGCTGGTAGTTTCAACAGATGGAGCCAACAAAGTTTGCGAGGGAAATATTTTTAGTGCAATATAATATTTAATGAGAATATTTTGCTATGACTGCTTAAATATTCAGGTGAGCAATACAGGCCCTCTTGGGCCTCTTGTTTATGTGTTGTCAGTATAAGTAAACTTAACATTCAGTAGATATTTACCAGGGAGGGGCTATATGAATGTAGTGTAGACCTCTGACAGATAAATGTTGACTGATGTTTTGTAGTTGCTGTAGTGGAATGACAGATAGATGTTGACTGATGTTTTGTAGTTGCTGAAGTGGAATGACAGATAAATGTTGATGTATGGTTTGTAGTTGCTGTAGTGGAATGACAGATAAATGTTGGCTGATGTTTTGTAGTTGCTGTAGTGGAATGACAGATAAATGTTGATGTATGTTTTGTAGTTGCTGTAGTGGAATGACAGATAAATGTTGACTGATGTTTTGTAGTTGCTGTAGTGGAATTGTGATGGATAACACACAGGTGCGCCGGGACAATAGGGAGGATAATGCAGACCACGAACTGAAGGATCTACAACGCTTACGGGTAAGGGTTATATTCACCTGAAATAGAGGCATTCTGTACATATTTTAATTTGGGAATGGATGCTTGTGACAATAAAGGTTTACCCTGATATTCTGGAGGGAGATTTGTGTATCTTTGGAAAGAGAAGGTCAGAACTGATAGAAATTTAATGGAGAGGTTTGTGTCAGTGAAGGGAGTAGGTGAAGGTTAATGTAATATTTTTTTGTAGAGTTTTGTGCCAATGGATACAACAAGTCAAGGTCACTTGTAATCTTGTGGAAAGTTTTGTTGTTGAAGGCAGTAAGTCAAGGTCATTAGTCATCTGTTTGAAGAACATGTCATTTTATCACTTAGATATAGTAAACAACAATAGTGAAGTGTTTACCATGATCTTTTTCAGTATGAATGTGAAGACTGGATTAAGACAGCCAAAATGTTGACCAGCCAGTTGTTGGGAGAGTCAGTTCTCTCTCTCTTCCCACTACCAATCCAAACAGATGACAAGGTGCTCAAACCACGCACGGAATCCATGGTAACAGACGTTGACCTTTATCATGATCATGAGAAACTAAAGAAAGCTGCAGAAAATCAAGCTGAACAGGGAACTCCTTCTGAGGTTTGTCAAATAAAACTAAGCATCAATGTACCAACAATAAAAGATGTAGATTTGGAACAGTGAACTATAATCTAATAGATGTTGTCATGTTCTTATTCCCATGTAAGCATTCTCATCCCACTGTGTTTATATTCTTATGTTAACATTCGGACCACTGTGTTAACATTCTGATCACTGCGTTAACATTCTGGTCACTGTGTTAACATTCTGATCACTGTGTTAACATTCTGATCACTGCGTTTACATTCTGATCATTGTGTTAACATTCTGGTCACTGTGTTTACATTCTGATCATTGTGTTAACATTCTGATCACTGTGTTTACATTCTGATCATTGTGTTAACATTCTGGTCACTGTGTTTACATTCTGATCACTGTGTTAACATTCTGATCACTGCGTTTACATTCTGATCATTGTGTTAACATTCTGGTCACTGTGTTTACATTCTAATCATTATGTTAACATTCTGGTCACTGTGTTAACGTTGTGATCACTGTATCAACTTTATGATCACTGTGTTAACATTCTGGTCACTGTATCAACTTTATGATCACTGTGTTAACATTCTGATCACTGTGTTAACATTATAATCATTTTTAGCTCACCTGCCCAAAGGGCAGCTGAGCTTATGCCATGGCGCGGCGTCTGGCGTCCAGCGTCCGGCGTTTGTCCCGCGTCCGTCAACTTTCCTTTAAACGACTTCTTCTGAAGAACCAGAAGGTATAGAGTCATGATATTTGGCTGGTAGCTTTCTTATATGGAGCCTGACAAAGTTTGCGAAAAAACAGAATTTGACCTACTTTCAAGGTCACAGGGGTCAAATATGTAAAAACCTTCAAACAACTTCTTCTGAAATACCGAAAGTTTTAGAGACATGACAATTGGTAGGTAGCTTCCATGGAATAAGCCGAACAAAGTTTGCGAATAAAAATGCCCTTGACCTACTTTAAAGGTCATAGAGGTCAAATATCTCAAAACCTGCAAACGACTTCTGAAATACTGAAATGCCTAGTGACATTGTATTTAACTGGTGGCTTTCTTGGAATTAGCCAAATAAAGTTTGCGAATAAAAATGATGTTGACCGACTTTCAAGGTCACACAGGTCAAATTTGTTAAAACCTTTTAACGACTTCTTCTGATTAACCAAAAGGCCCAGAAGCATGATATTTGGCTGATAGGTTTCTAGGATGAAGCCCAACGAAGTTTTCGAAAAGAAATGACCTTGATCTATATTCAAGGTCACAGGGGTCAAATTTGTTAAAACCTTCAAACGACTTCTCCTGATTAACCAAAAGGCCCAGAAGCGTGATATTTAGCTGATAGGCTCCTAGGATGAAGCCTGACAAAGTTTGCGAAAAGAAATTACCTTTGCCCATGTTCAAGGTCACAGGGGTCATTTATGTTGAAAACTTTTTACAAGTTCTTCTTAATAACCAAGAGACCCAGGCTGATAATATTTGTCCAATAGCATGCTAGAATGAAGAGCTACCAAGTGTGTTAGCATTTTGATTAATGTATTAACATTCTGATCACTGTGTTAACATTCTGATCACTGTGTTAGCATTTTGATTAATTTGTTAATATTCTAATCACTGTGTTAACATTCTGATCACTGTGTTAACACTTTGACCATTGTGTTAACATTCTGATCACTGTGATAGCATTCTGATTAATGTGTTAACATTCTGATCACTGTGTTAACATTCTGATCATTATGTTAACATTCTGATCATTGTGTTAACATTCTGATCACTGTGTTAACATTCTGATCACTGTGTTAACATTCTGATTAATGTATTAACTTTCTGATCACTGTGTTAACATTCTGATCATTATGTTAACATTCTGATCATTGTGTTAACATTCTGATCAATGTGTTAACATTCTGATCACTGTGTTAACATTCTGATCATTATGTTAACATTCTGATCATTGTGTTAACATTCTGATCACTGTGTTAACATTCTGATCACTGTGTTAACATTCTGATCATTATGTTAACATTCTGATCATTGTGTTAACATTCTGATCACTGTGTTAACATTCTGATCACTGTGTTAACATTCTGATTAATGTATTAACTTTCTGATCACTGTGTTAACATTCTGATCATTATGTTAACATTCTGATCATTGTGTTAACATTCTGATCACTGTGTTAACATTCTGATCACTGTGTTAACATTCTGATTAATGTATTAACTTTCTGATCACTGTGTTAACATTCTGATCATTATGTTAACATTCTGATCATTGTGTTAACATTCTGATCACTGTGTTAACATTCTGATCACTGTGTTAACATTCTGATTAATGTATTAACTTTCTGATCACTGTGTTAACATTCTGATCATTATGTTAACATTCTGATCATTGTGTTAACATTCTGATCACTGTGTTAACATTCTGATCACTGTGTTAACATTCTGATTAATGTATTAACTTTCTGATCACTGTGTTAACATTCTGATCACTGTGTTAACATTCTGATCACTGTGTTAACATTCTGATCACTGTGTTAACATCCTGATCACTGTGTTAACATTCTGATCACTGTGCTATTTTTTGTGCAGGTGAAGGAACCAGAGACAAAACCAAATGAGGATACCAAGCCACCTGAGCCAACCTCACCCAAGGAAAAGGAGCAACAGTCAACAGAGGAAGCTACAAAAGAGGAAGCCCCACCTCCAGTAGAGAGCGCTGAGCAACTTTCATTGGAAGTCAAGGCAAAGGTACAGCTCCTTTTTAAGGTGTAATATGTTTCTGTATGTATGCAAGTGTGGTTCGAAAAGATGACTATCAAACGTCCTGTTCTTATCCTACTAATCTATACTCCACTGATGAATGTTCCAGTTTTACATGGTGAAGAAAGTTCAGACAAACTATAAATAGCAGTAGATCAAACAGGAATTCCCTTATTTATCACTAGCAATGTCTAATCAAAAACATAACTCTCAATTGAGATTGATTTTCATGTTTTGATTTTTCCATTGTGATTTATCAATTTTGACTCATAGGAGAAACAACTGTATCTACTTTTATAGGCTGAAAATGGGGCTTTATCTTACTCTTCAGATGGAGTGAATTTTGCCTTCTTCATTATCTGTATCATAATATTCACTTAATCAAAATTATTAACATTATATGATGGAGAGGATAATAATTCTCTATAATTACATTTTGAGGATAGACCTTAGACCATGATAAAACTTAAGAATAGGCAGTGTTACTTATTTGATGTTTCAAACGCTTAACTGTCACATAATCAAAAATAGACTAGGTGATAATCGTGACATTCATGATATCTTTGTCTGTATTCACCAATAAAAGTTTGACTGAACAACAGGATAAAAAGAAAAATAATTAAGTCTATGATCTATATGATAGAGGTCTGTAAGTCTGTTAATATATTACATGTATTGTTACCATAGTTCAGGTAATAGGGTTGTGTCACCGTTTCTCAGTAAAGTTTCCTTCAAATTTAATAAATGCTGAAATGTTGTAAAATAAATTATCTGTAAACGATTAAAAATTGACATTTTATAATAAAACCATATACACATAGTAGTTGCATGTAAGAGTTATCTTTCTTGAAAAACTTCACAGTAGTGAAATAGGTAGCCGGTTTCCTGAAGTACACAAAAAAGGACACATGTGACTCATTGATAAAAAAAACAACTGAATTAATGCCTGGATTGCTTTGAATTCTTTATTATTGAGAGAACACACTGTTCTGTCAATAATAAACATACAATATTCATCAGTTTAAGATTAAACAATGGACTCATAAGAATATGCGGAAATTGTGATACTGTCTCCCTACATTGGATTTTCAACTAGGGATGTACTTCCTATTTCCGTTTATCAATACACTCATTCGACCTAAAGATGGGGTTTTGAGTCTGGATTTTATCCTTAAAAATGATTACTTTTTTCACAACAGGAAGTAGAGGTTGATGCCCTAGAAAGGTTGGAAGTCATAGGCCAAGATGACAACACTCATGTACAAAAACTGGATCAGACACCTCTAGAAGTAAGTTTGGACTGTAGCTAGGAGTACAGTATTAGATCAGTCACCTCTAGAAGTAAGTTTGGACTGTAACTATGAGTACAGTATTAGATCAGACACCTCTAGAAGTAAGTTTGGACTGTA